GAAAAGCCGGTTGAGAACTAATTATGAGATCAGCTGACGTAGTGGAAACATTGTATAAGATTGTAAATGAGTGAGATCGATAGAGCGCAAAATTTTCTATCTTTCTACCTAGAAAAATTAACTATTGAACCTCAGACAATTTGCTAAAAATCTAAAAAAATGAGGTGACAAAAGTACGTCGCAGTTCGACAACTCAGCACTCTTCAATATTTTGAATGGTGCTCAAACGAGAAAAATGCTCTCAGAGATTCAAATAGTAGGTTTTGTAGAGCTAGAAATTCTCTATCTTTTGGTATGTAAAGAAACTTCTAATTTGAAGAGGAAGTACGAAACAAATGCAGTAACATTTAGTTCAGTTTATTATGGTACACCAGTTATCTTATATATTAGTTTTATTTTATAAATCCATAACTATTAGTATGACAGATACATCTCAAACTCACCAGCCAAATAATCTTGATCAATTTTATTTGGGTGTTGTTTCAAAAGAGCCAAGTCAACGATTAGAATGTTTTGCCGGATTAGAGGAATATTTAAAGGATCAAAATAACACATTGGAATGCGAAGATACATACGGATTTGTTAGTGGTTTATTAAAATGGGTTGAATGTAGCAATTATAGGGTATGTATAACTTTGTGTCAATTGTGCTCTATTTATGAACATCATGTTTCTTATTTTAGATAGCATTAAATGGCTTGAAAGCTTTAGAAGCATTTGCCGAAAGATTAGGGGGTGAATTTGAACGTTATATTGATGATGGTGAGAGTGAACTAAAGAATTATTTACGCTTTACTAGGTTTTTCCTTTTCTAGTTGTGTTAGCATGTATCGACCGGTTGGGTGATTCGAAAGATCAGGTATTCTCATAGTTGTCTATTTTGGTTTTTTAAAAGATTCTATGTCTTTGTATATTCAAGGTTCGAAATTACGCATCAGATCTATTAACGAAATTAATGACAATATCCACAGCACAGGTAATATTTTCGTGCTCTTTCAATATAACTAAAGGCAACCAGAGCAAAATATTTTTACTCCTTTTCTAGCGTATTTGGGATTTATTACAACCGGCACTTGAGCATAAATTATTTCGAATTAAAGAGGAATGTCAACGGCTGTTAGTTAGAACGTTAGATGAGTAAGTTTTACATACATCATTTTTTCATTCGAAAAGAAAAATAAAAGATTGTACTGAAAGAAATATTAACGAGATAGTGAAATAGGTTTAGATAATAATTAATCAAAAACTAGCTAGATATATTACTATAATAATGCTGAAGTATTTATTTGTTTATTTCAATAAAGATTGTAGGATATTCAATTAATTCTCTTGATTCATGTGGGTTGCGCAATCAAATCAAATAGACTTCTTTTAATTCAGTCTCACTCATTTTACTTATAACTATTAAAAAGTTATTTGTAAATCTATTTTTCTCGTTAAAAGTCTATACTGAATGCCTATTGTTGTTGTTTTATGATAATCCAATTTTAAGCCTATGCGTTGTTACGCACGTGTGTGTAGCAAACGTTTTATGTAGTCACTCTGTGCTTGTCACCGGCACTTAGATGCTACTTGAACATTTAAAGCGATACTTTCACATTTTAGTGTATATATTTAGAGTGAAAATGTTCCTCTTTATTTTTGGAAAATTTTCTATTATAATTCTGTTACGCTAATGTGAAACATGTTTTAGTTTGTTGGTAAATAACTTTTTAATCTCGTTATGGAGTCCCTATTGCATCAAGTAAATAATATGTCAACAAAACATTTCTGTGAAACATTTCTTAATACATTTACCATTGTTGCTGCACTGTTAATCGACCAAAAAAGTCGGAAAAATGAAAATTAGCGTATAATGTACTGCGCTTAATAAATTTGTTTTTTCTAATTATAAGAACTAAACTAAAAAACTGTAGATTTACTGACTTTTTTCTTCTATTCTTTCCTTATTTGTTTTAATGTGAATTATGATTCTTTGTAAAAAAGAAAAAAGACGAGGTCCAACATGATATATCAGACAGAAGGACAATGCAACTGAATGGTCAACAGTTACAGAAAAAAAAATACGTTTGACCGTGCCATATGCGACAGTGTATGAAATGTGAAAAAAAAGAGTTTTTTTTATATTTCTCTTTTCTCTCTATTTATTATTATCTCTCGTATATAGCAGTACTATATGATATTTAGACATTGAGTTTAATAGAAAAAATTGTACCATTCTGCAGTCACTTTTCTTCTTTTTTTTTCTTCTTTTCTTTTGCTGTTGTACGAATATGTGTGAGATGTACCAGCTAACAATACATTTGGTGATTCTTTAATGACTATCGATATTTTCGAACGAAAAGATGTCAGAATAGTGTTGTTATTATCATCATGATTATTGTTATTATTATCGTTATTGCTATTGATCTTTCGTTATATCAGCTACAGTTATCTGTATTTGTGCTTAGAGTTTTGTCAGAAATCAAAAACATAAAATGTTAAAACAACAAGAATTAAACAGTGTGACAATTAGTCAGTGTTTACAAACGTAAGTAAAATCGTCCTACTACACTTTTAATACTTTCAAATAATTACAAGACATTTTGTGAGAACACCAATTTATAAATTATTTATATATTAATCGTACATTTTATACATCAGAAATGTTGAGCCATATGTTAGCAAAATTTCGATTCGTTATAAAGTTAAACAATACATAATTAAAATTATTATAAAAACTTTGTTTAAATTATTCAATCCATTTCTTCATTATTACTGTCTCTCATTTTTGCGAACATTTACAGTTCAATTGTACATAACTTCTAGAAATATTTTTTCTTTTTCTAAAGTTCTATCATTCAGTATATTTCGCGTTTAAGAGGTGTTCTAATTTTTGCTAGTAGAAGATTTCACATATATTTAGAATTATGTCACACAAATTGATTCGTTTGATGATATGAAGAGAATCTTAGTTATACCAATTTTTGAAGTTGTTTTCCTTTTTTTTCTTTGAGAGGAGTAAGAGTAGAAATGATGATTGTTGACCTATTCTAAGAGTGATTTATAATAGCACTTGAGTATTTCTTTAAATGTTTTAATATTATATAACTTTTTCTTTAATTAACCCTGCCCATAGACTATAATACTGAAAATATTATTCAAAAATTGTTAGTTAGCTATACCATTACATAATAGATGTTGATGATGAAAATTGAATATATGAACAAAAAAAAAAGAAAGAAACTGTTGCCTCAAGCAAAAAATAATTGTGTCCATTAGAGAGTCCATGGAAAAATATCCGATATTTGTATATCAATATCTATCACAATAATTGACATCATAAGACAGCTGAATAAATTTCTCGGTCCGCATAGTTTTAGTGTTCTTATAAATTGGTGTTTTCTTGATCGTCATTGTAAACAAGGATCTGATATAGTAGAAAGCGAAAGATTTTATGAAGTAGATGATTGCATTTTATAACTGTTACGACATATTAATAAATACAACAAAAGACGTTTGTTCATATCTACTAATAAAATATTCATGTGTATGTAATAACAATTCTAATATTTATATACACATTTTCCATTTTGTTAAAAAGTATGTTACTATAGAAATATTTTACAATTGATGCTTTTTAATTTTTTTAAAAATAAATCTTTATAACAGAGTTTGACACTTTTTATTCATAATAGATGTGGTTATTTAGCGTTTATCAGCATCATTCGCCATTGATAAGACGGGTATGTAGACTGGATAAAGGATCAAGGTTAATTCGCACAGTAGAAGATAAAACTGAAATACTAATTCAAAACTCACATTCTGAAAATGAATTATATTGCACGGTTTGATCATTCATTCATTAACTGATATAATTTTAGCCGTCAAAATCAGTAATTTTTAAGGTAGCGATCATTGTACTCATGTAATTACTCTTTTTTTGGTAGTTAACCGAGGAAAAACTATCAGATGGTAAATGATGATTTAGTGGGATAGAATGAGATAGATGCTGTTAATAGAGCACCATCATACAACTTTTAACACTGCATGTTGTATTCAGTATGTTTTATAAAATAAAAAAGTGCAATCAAATTTTATGCGTAGACCTAGGCATGCACCCGTATTCACTGGTATATATTTTACCTTTTTTCTCAATCAGATTGATTACAAAGTACAAAATATTAAAATTTTTTATGACTTAATTTTGTGGAGTAAACATTTTTTCTACACTCTAAAAAGATGTTCTTCAATTTTTCAAAGAACTGAAAAACCAATGGAAATTTTGTTTTTCATTTGTTTCAAATAGAGAACACAAATTCTGTTCTTCAGCTCTCAAGAACTCAAAATTTATTATTCATTTTCAAAAGAATGAAAAAAAATCAGTCAAATCAAAAATTGAAGAACACCTTTTTGTTTAGAGTGTACAAGATAACACATGGCGGAATTTTTCATATCTTTCCTTTTTCTTGTAATCGCTTCTTGACCAAGAGCCATTAAGCAGTACCGATATAAGTACCTATGACGCGTTTAGTAAACATTTTTAATTCAATAATGAATCAAGATGAAAAATTTTGTCATATACCGCATTTTGTAGCGAAATGTTTACTCTTTAAAACTTAGTGGCTAAAAAGATTTCAAAAGATTATTTTTCGTTACAAACAGCTTTTTGTGTAAAAAAACATGGAATTACAATAGGTAAATACCGGTGAATGCCTACGCAGAACTAAAGATCATATGATAAACGATACGCCCTTTTTCATGATGTTGTGACTGATATTATTAACAGTAGACTTGATGCTATAATTGAGATTGTTTTTCTCGACCTGAAAGATCATCAATTTTTATTATTTTCTATGAAAAAAAGAATTATATATTAAACAAAACATTTAAATGACTTTTTAAAACGAAAATATAGAGATTTTATTTACTAAAAGATATCAACAAGTGTGATCTTACCGATAAAGAATGTTGAATGAGACAAATTTAATTAGATTTAATAGAACGTTAGCTCTCATCGACCTCTGCTATTTTTGATTTATCATTCATAAATTTATTTTTTGCAGATGTCTGAGTTATTGGGAAAAAAATAAAATAGATATACGCACATTCTACCCATTACTATCTATACTGCCTGTTATCTAGATTATTAAAAGGTCGGCTTCTTCTTTCGTTTGTGTATGGATGTGGGCAATTGTGCATAATATTGCTACAGATCTAGAGAATGAACATAGAACTAGAGCGGGAAAGAGAAAGTAAAATGTGTGTACAGTAAAAAATGATGTTCACTCGAGAGATACCACATACATAAGAGAAAAAAAATTGCGTGAAAAACTAACCATATATATCATCATGTCGACTATTATCATTATAAGAAAAAGTTTCTCCGCCTTGCTTTACTCATGTAGTAGTTGTAAAGTAAACGTTTTTCGTTAATATATTCTACTCTTCCATTGTTTATTTATGGAAGAGATTAAGAATTAAAAGCCTCCAAAGTATGTTTTGTTTTGTGTGTAAATGTATAAAGCATAACAATAATATTTGTAGTCTTTGTAACAATCAATATTTGAATAATAGTAAAAGTATGTGATTCAGAACAATGGAGTACTTTATTTGTTATTTTTTTTAATTTTTTAAGAAAATGAAATATTACAGTTTTTTAAGACACCCATACATTATTTTGAAGAGCTTTTTGTAATCGGTTATGTCTGAATTATGATTTCAATTAGTATGAGACGAACAAATTCCATGCAATACAGGTAAAGTGGTAGAAAAGTCACATGATCACAATCATTTTTTTGATTAACAGAAAATAAGAACTGAGTAAAGAAACGTTGACAATGTTTAAAAAAACTTCTACACAGTAAGCTTTTACTTTATAATCTTGTTTTTGTCCTTATATGGTGATTTTGAATTTTTTTCCAATTGTTGATTCAATTCCTTACTTTAGTCAGATGGCGAACTCCAATGCATGTTAACTGTTTTCTTTTTCCGCTATATATTGTCTTCGGTTATCATTTCCAGTAATCATCAATGAATCTTCTTATATAGAAACAATTTTTTGAAAAAAAAATCTATTTTGTATCCGAATATAATCGACATGAGAATGCTATAAACTATCTAATTTGTAAAACTTCAGAGATTCATGTAGCAAAAATTTTGGATTATATATTCAGTACTTGATATTTATTTGATTTTCTTCTCTTTTCACTAACGTAGTAGCCAGAGATCAGTTCATTACCAAAGTGATAGACAATGAATAATCAAAATAATGATAGAATGTTGACCTAATTCTATTGCAACAGCAGAGTAACACGATATACTCGTTTGATCTGTTTTATGATTATTATATCTAACGTCGATATCATCATTTCAACTATCTAATTGTCGTCGAATGCGTAGTGCTGTTATTGAAACTGATTATTATATGTTGTAGTGATATTTAGACAATGAAATATGTGTGTCTATGTGTACATATCTACTGTGATGAAGACTAGATATCAGACCTTCACAATTATATTCAGTTATTTTCTCTTTGTTTTAATCTTCTGAACATTTATATATAAAGATATTGTTTCATTTATTTTTGTATAGTGAGAGAGAAAGATTCAGAGATTGACGTTAATAGATTCGCATATGTTCGAATGATTAGCGCAGATGTTTTCGTTGTAACCACTACTTTTCTCATATTTCACTGTTCTAAAGAGTTTTAAGCAAAAATTCCTTTAGGGTAACTCTTTTCATTATGTTTCGTTGATTTCCATCGATACTACGTTACATTAATTTCATGTATATTTCACTTAAGCACTAACATTACTAATATGCCGGTGCTTAGAAAGTGAATTTTTAACACGGCTGGAAGTGAGACAATCTGATAGATAAACATATGAAAAGAAAATTCTCGACGGGGAATCGGACCTCAGGACTCTCTGGTACCAGGCCGAAATCACTGAGCGAATGATTCGGCATTCGATTCGGCTTGGCCTTTTGTCGAATCTAACCGAACCGATTTAAGATCCAAAAATGTTATTCCGAATCGAATCGAAGCTAATCAGGTTTTTCTGATTCGTTTCGGGCTCTAACTACTGAGCTACCGAAGAACAACATACTGTCAGTTCACATGAACGATTTAACTATCAGAGTCTCGGATACTGACGTTCATACAACGAGTAGTAGTACTGCCAATGTTATTACAAGAGTATATAACCTCTCGAGGATTTGTTATGCCTGTTATTTAGCTGAGAGTGATTAGAGTTTCTGGCCGGTTACCAGAGGATCCCAAGTTCGATTCCCGATCGGAGCATACATTTTCTTTTCAGATGTTTATCTATCAAATTGTCTCATTTCTAGCCGTGTTAATAATTCACTTTCTAATTTCATCCAATCCTGTTTCACAATTCATATGTCGATGCTTCATCATGCACATTCATATTATGTCTGAAGTGAACAGCTTAGATAAATGTGGGTGACATAATACGAAATGTAATTTACATACATAGACCTAATTGTTTTATCCAACAATAAAGATTATTGTAAATGCCATCGTATTGTGACTTCAATCAAGGAGTTTTTATGGTTGTTTAATGAACTAAAGTATATGATTGTAGGTGTGTTTGTTTTGATTGTATTTCGATCAACAAAAAATATTGAATAGGATTATCGTATATATGTTGTATTGCTTGACAAATAACTAACATGAAGAAATTAGTCGCACTCACAATGACTTTGCGAGTGCGACACACATTATTTGTTATCCAGTCTGAAAATTAGATTTGAAAGTTGGAAGATCCTAATCAGTAAAGTCTAACAGAAGCTCAAAAGCGAGGCGTTAATTGAGATTGTTAATCGTTTTCTAGTAAAAATAACTTAGAAAACTACAACATGTGTTTAAGTGTGATTAAAATCCATAAATAGTCCGTTGTATTTTAATTTTTGTTTTTCGTTTAGATTTGGGGCATCATCTATTCAATTAAATAAATTAGTTCCATTAATTTGTAAGCTTGTCACAGATTCGAATGGACAGGTACGAACAGCGTATTCATAAAAAAATATTATTCTTATAATAAAATTGTAATAACTTTTCTCATTTATTAAAGGTTCGACAACAAGCAGTTGATACACTAGTGGAAATATATCGACATGTTGGTGAGAAAGTTCGAAATGATATTGCTAAAAGAGATATTCCAGAAGCAAAGTAAGAAAATATAACTACTAGAATTACTGAAAAACATTACTTTTCTGTATATATGTTTTTAGATTAAAAATCTTATATGAAAAATTTGATGATGTTGTGGCTAGCGGAAGAATGTTAGCAAAAGAAGACAGTAGGTCAATAGTATTTATTTGAATAAACAGATGAATAGTGACATCTGTTTATATGCTAAATTTGTTAGACTCAAATGTGTCATTTATTGATGGCGAAAGCAGGTGACGCCAGTTTCTTGTTAACATAGGAAATGAGGAGAAGTAGCAACAGAATGTAGTGTAGAGCCAACAGAAATGATGATGTTATAAATGAACTCGTGTCTCTTCTGAGGTCAGAAATAAGTTAAGTTAAATTAACAACATCGATTTTGAAAAAAATGCATGAACATATCAGCGGCGTAACCAGGATTTTTAGTCCAATGGGCAAACTTCTATTGTATCGGAAAAAAACGATGGGCAAAATGGGCAAGGTTTTTGTCGATGGGCCAAAAGATTTTTGGTCCAAAAAGACACATAAAAATGAAATGAGA